CTTTGAACAAACTTAGTGATATCCTTGCGCATCCCAGGCCAATAAAAAGAAGCAGATATGCGTAATAAGGAACGTGCAATACCAGCATGGCCACCAATTTGGGAAGAATGTGCCTCAGACATCAAAAGCTCACGAATACTAGAAGTGGGACCAAGAAGGTAGCGATGTTTATGGAATAAAATTCCATCTTTAAGGGTGATTAGAGGATCTACAGCAGTATGGTCTAACAGCTGTTGATGGATTTGAAGCAAATAAGGGTCTGTGGTATTTTCCTTCTTGATATCATCCAACAGTTGGAATGGAGGCTCAGAGAACAAAGCCATAACAGTGGCCGCAGTTGGTTCTTCATAGCTTCGAGACAAAGCATCAGCAACTATGTTAGAAGGACCTGGCTTGTACTCAATTGTGAAATCATATCCCATTAACTTGCATGCGTATCGCTGTTGCTCGATGGTTTGAACAGTTTGTGAAAGCAATTCCTTAAGACTATGATGATCCGTTCGAATAACAAAGGAAGAGCCCAGCAGATAAGGACGCCACCGCTTCACCGCTTCAGTGACTGCATACAGCTCACGTACATAGGTGGAAGCAGCTTGGAGACGTGGGCCCAGCTTTTTGCTAAAAAACGAGACTGGTCTGCCATTTTGCAACAGAACAGCTCCAGCACCTGTTAAGGAGGCATCTGTCTCTACTACAAAAGGAAGATTAAAGTCAGGCAATATGAGGACTGGGGTGGAAACCATAGCCTCTTTTAACCGTTGAAAGGCTTGTTGAGCTGCATCACTCCAAGAAAATTCATTTTTCTTGAGTAAATCCGAAAGAGGAGAAGCAATTGTGGCATATTGACGTACGAATCGCCTATAGTAACCTGTGAGGCCCAAAAATCCTCTCAATTGTTTTACAGTTGTGGGTAGAGGCCAGTGGAGCATAGCTTCGACCTTCCTAGGATCTGCCTTAACACCATGAGCTGAAACTAAATGCCCCAAGTAATCTATCTCTGGAAGAGCAAAAGCACATTTGCTTAATTTGACCAAGAAGCTGTTAGTAAGAAGACAGTCCAAGGCCACCTGTAAATGAAGGATATGCTCATCCAAAGTCTTGCTAAAGATTAGTATGTCATCAAAGAAAACAATGATGAATTTGCGCAAATAAGGCCTAAACATTCGATTCATGGCAGATTGAAACGTGGAGGGTGCATTTGTTAATCCAAATGGCATAACAAGGAATTCATAATGCCCATCGTGTGTACGAAATGCAGTTTTATGTGTGTCTTCAGGAACTAACCTGATTTGATGGTAGCCACTGCGTAAGTCCAATTTAGAGAACACCCCTGCCCCATTCAATTCGTCCAACAACTCATCAATTGTTGGAATTGGAAAACGGTCTTTCACAGTAATCTGATTTAAAGCTCGGTAATCAATGCACATTCTCCAACTCTGGTCTGCTTTCCTCACCAAGAGCACCGGAGATGAAAAATAGCTATGACTTTCCTTAATAAAGCCTGCTGCTAGCAAATCAGAAATTTGATGCTCAATTTCAGACTTCTGATGATATGCATAGCGGTATGGTCTTACAGTGACTGCTTGGGAACTAGGAATCAAGTGGATGGCATGATCACAATCTCTCTTAGGAGGAAGTTGTTTGGGAAGTTGAAAAACAGATTGAAATTTGCTTAACAATACCCAAATTTTGGCTGGAACATGATCCTTAATAGCAACCAAGTCAGGCAGTATATCAGATTGAACAGATGAGGAATCGATTGCTGATAAAGAAAAACACTTAACAAGCTGATCAGTAGTTGGACAAAATTTCGGATCACCATGTAAAACAACTAACTTGCCATCCCACATGAATTTCATAGTCCTCTCACCATAATCATGGAGTACCTTTCCCAACTGTTCGAGCCACATGAATCCCAAAATTATACCTGTGGACATAGCTAAGTCAATCACCCAAAAATCAGCAGTGAAAAAATGTCCTTGTATCTGAATAGAAACATTAGAACACTTCTTGTCACATAGCATAAAGGCACCATTGCCCAAGTAAACATTCATCTTCTGAGTCTTGGACACAGGCAAGCCCAAAGTGTCTACCAATTCCCTCTTGATAAAGTTGTGTGAACTGCCAGAATCAACCAGGGCCAACATCGAATTGACTCCTATGCTAACAGTGAATTGGAACGATCCAGAGCTGGTATTCCCTGATAAGGAATGTAAGGCTGCATCCAAAGGTGCCATGTCAGTAGCATCTGGTTGCCACACGATATGCTCCTCAGCATTCAAATTGTCCTCTTCCATATCACCAATCAAAAATAAAAGTTTAGCTTTACAGCGATGTCGAGAAGTCCATTTCTCATCGCATGTATAACACAAACCCATTTCACGACGCTTCTGTAAGTATTCATTAGACAACTTCTTAACAGGTAAATTGGAAGGTAAGGAAAGTTGATTTGAAACTGAAGTTGTGGTGGATGGTAAGGCTAATGTGTTTGGATTATGGCTGGTATTGGTACTGTCCGAAGATGGAATAGATTTCTGGAATGGCTTCTTAGGTGTATATGTATTGGAGGAAAATGATGAACGAAGATCAACAAAGTGGGCTTCATACACTAATGCCAATTGCATTGCTTGATGAAGTGTAGGAGGGTTATGAAGTTGAACAGCCCTTCGTAACTCAGAAGAAAGGCCCGATACAAAAAATGCCATCAAGACATCATCAGCAAATCCAGTCACTTGATTAATCAATGACTCAAACTGTTGTGTATAATCTGATAAAGTACCTGTTTGTGTGAGTTTAGACAGAACTCCCCTAAGATCCATGTATGCAGAACCACCAAAACGTTGGCATGCTGCAATCTTGAGGTCATGCCAGGTGCCAATCGATCCTCCATTAAACAACCATTGATACCAAGGGAAAGCTGGTCCCTCCATTTTTAACCCAGCAAGACGTACCTTAAACTCTTCTGGAATGTGCTGTAAATCGAAGTACAATTCGGTTTTGAAAATCCAACCCTGTGGATTTGTCCCATTGAAAGAAGGAATCTCCATGCGTACCGTCTTCAAGGGTACGGTAAAATCGGACATCGTGGGTTTATGGGTACCGAAAGATGCAGATGCACCCTCTGATAATGGCCGAGAATTTCGCACACGTTCCTCTCTGCCAAGAATCAACTCATGCAGTTGTTGTAATTGCGCAGCCAAATTGCCCAATTGGTTTTGGGTTTCGCGTTGGCTCTCACAAAACACTGGTCAATACGAACTTGGAAAGCATGATTCTCTTCCCTGTCTTTGTCGAATTTGAGTTGAAGAGATGAAAACTCTTCCGCGAGTTCCTGTATCCTCATGATGATGGCAATGAAAGCACCAATGATAAGAGGAGTTCTTATCAAGAACAAGAAAAATAGAATGAATACTGTTTTTTTGATTGATGAATGAATGAATCAGAAGTTTACAAGTTTTTCCTACTTATACCTTCTTACCCATGTAATGGCCAATTACACATTACAGATATTAACCGTATGAAAGTGACAACTAATTATACACATTCCAAATGACTAATCTATTAGACACTACATGTTGACAGCATAATCCTTGGCCCACATTGGGGCTCCTCTGCTTCTATTGGGCCTCCTTGACGTATCATTCATCCTAACGGACATGTTGTTTCATCCTAACGGACATGTTGTTTCATCCTTGACTGGGTGCCTTTTCGTGTTGAACGAATGTGTCTTTTCGTGTCCAACGGATGTGTTGTTTCGTCGTCGAATATGTGCCTTTTGAAACGTGACCGGTCAGTGTCTATAAATAGACACTGACACCTTCATAAAATGTATCCAGTTTTCTGCACTTAAACTCTGCCGGAATTTTTCTCCTTCCGGTTTTGCATACTGTTGTTCATCCTCCGGTGTGATTTCCTCTGGCAATTGTTGTGTTCGTTTGGGCTGTTGATTGGTAGTGCCACCATTCTTCAGACGTAATCCGGTCTATCCTGGGAGACAAGTGTCCATCAACGTTAGGCATCAGTGAGGGGGCAAATTGTCTTAAGGAGACACGTTCTGTGGGCTCGGATTTAATTCCTCTACTTCTGACATATCATTCTATCTGTTCTATCATTCTGCTTGCATCATCATCTGATTTCAAGTAAGTCGGTTCTTTAATTTTAATATTTATAATTGCACAGTGATAATTCTGATCATCTACCTCCTCTGGTTCTATACATGGGTTCAATCTTTTAGTGATATAATATCACCCACTGTCTTCAATAACAAATTTTTCATGTCATGGGAATCCAATAATATCACCCTCTTAGTAGTATTCTTGGATAGCATTTTGGTTCAAAAAACTTCAAAAGTTTTTTTTTCTGGTAAATTGATTTTTTCGAAATTTTTTTTAACAATTCTTATATCAAACGTGGGTAAATAAAATTAGGGAAAAGTGTGTATAATTTTGAAGGATGTAAAGTTGTGTCATTTTAAGAGAGAGAAAGAGATAGATAAAGGAGGAGAGAGAGTTGACAAAATAAAATAAAATTGTGGGTCCCACCTCTTTGTGAGAGTGAAAGGATGTAAGTTGTGTAATTTAAAAGTATAGACATTTTTCCCATAAAATTACTAATGTCAGTTTTCGAAAATTCAAAAAAAATTCTTGTACCACAAACATCCTTAAATGTTCTATATTTTATTTGTTTTTATTTTTTTCCGTTCATCTTTCCTTCCTAGCCTAAAATATTCATCCGTTGGGCCTGGCCGATTAAGTCATTGAACGAGCATTATATAAAAAGAGCTACCAGGAAAGAAAAGAAATTGGACTTTGTCACGTGATTAACCTTCGCCCAAAACTTGCAATGCAAGGTATATATTCTAACTAAGTAATCTAAATTCTCGGTCTCATATTTAATATAAAAAAAAAAAAAGGAAAAGAAAAATTTTAAACGGTGCCGTTTGGTTTCGCTGGTCTTATAAAAACACGTAAGATGCACTGGAAGGTGGAAAGTAGAAAGATCTACACACATTGGCATAATAGCATATATGGGAAACTAAAATTTCATCTGCGACCGAGAATCGCTTTTTCCTGGTTCCGTCTCATCCAAACAAGTCCTTAACAGCGAAGCTTGGAGAATATGGTGGTAATAGAGCATGAAGAGAGTGAGGATCGTAACGCGAAACCCTCCAATGCTGGAGCCGGCAACGAAGCTTCCGACGGCTTCGAAACCGCCAGCGACGCCGATCTCGGAAGCGACGGCGAAGAAGGCGGAGCTAGCAGCCGGAAAGAACAGGAGCATGGTGAGCAACACCAGCATCAGCAGACAGAGCAGGAGCAGGAGCAGGGTGTTGCTCTAAGAAGCGATTCGTCCGAGGATGCTTCGGTCAATGAGGAGGAAATGAGACAGGTTCGTTTTCGAAAATTAGGGTTCTCGTAGTTGCGTTTTTTTTCCTCTTCAATAGTGCTTGGCTCATGTGATAAATTATGTGACTAATTACTTATTTGCATATGCTTTTCTTGATAATTTTTTTTTTGTTTATTATAGAAGGCTAAAATATAGGAGTACCTCCAAATATGGATCATATGCAGAAAATTCTTACACTTTGAACGAGCTGAACTGTGAATATTAATGTATATTGATCCCCTCGTGCATGAGCAGAAAGAGAAATGCTACCTATATATACACTTAAGCCATCACTTCACATATACATGTTTTCTACCATTTGGTTACAGTTGATCCCATCATAACTTTTACACCCGCTTACACTCTGATTTTGGCACCTCATACTGATGTAAATTGATGTAAGAGAGGAGTGATGAGCAGCAGAAAACTCTGGTTTGGTGAGTTTAAGGAATTGTGTTGGTGAATTCTAAAAGGGATTTTCTGCACATGACCTGAGTTGGAGGGAGGTTCTTTGCATTTTAGTCTTAAAATTGTTTAAAAAATACTCTTGTTACATTATAGTTTCTAGGACTTTAAGTGTGTTTGGATGAGTTTTTTAAAATGCTGAAGAGTTTATTTTTAAAAAAATATTTTTTGTGTTTTTTTTCTTCCCTCGCTAGAAAAATGCTAATCCCTTTTTCAATAGTGGAAAAAAAGAAAGCAAATTCGTGCAATTTCTTTTGTACAACGAATAGTTTGTTTGCCAGTTTTTTAATATTGGTTCGATTTCTTTTTAACAACGTTTTCTTCCTTATGAAAAGAGAGTGATTGATGCTATTGCTTTCTGTGACAGAAAGCATTGGTTCAAGCAAATGTAGCAAAGGCAGAAGGTAACAGATGTTTTGTAGATGGGAAGTATGAGGAGGCATTATCACAATATGAACTTGCTTTACAAGTTGCACCAGACATGCCTTCATCTGTGGAAATACGCTCTATATGCCATGCAAATCGTGGTGTGTGCTTCCTGAAACTGGTATGGCCTTCTTTCATTCTATTAATGAGAATAGCATTTGTCAGCACATTCCTGTGTTATGCTTTTCCACACGTGTCAACCAGATAAGCTAGTAATGTCATTTTTTTTTGCTAGACAGCTTATGCCTTATGGTCTACCTTGGTTCTTGACCTTTCTATGTTTGCATTCACTTCAGAGTTCAGAACTATAGGTTGAAATTCAAAGATGGTTTTGTCCTCAGCTCATATAGATTTTCTATTACATACTAATCTGGAAGAGTAAAAATTAAAAGTTAAGTATTTTTTTAAAAAAAAAAAAAGTATTATTTGGTCAATTTAAATTCATTAATTTTTAATTATACAAAATTTATTAGAGAAAAGAAAGGGAAAGTACAACTGTAGGGAGGATAAGAATAAGATATCCTAAAAACCATAAAAGCTGAGATGCAACAAGGACAATGAAAAATGAAGAATGCTGCAAAGCTACCTGCATACCAGAAATTGATATTCTCTAGAAATAGTCATGAGCAGCAGCAGGACAGAAAAGAGAAGCTTAAACTTAATCCTCTGTCATTACTAGTTTAAGGGAAATGAGACACCCTTAGAGATGTGAGCATTATGACCTGACCATAAGCAATTTAACAGGTTTTATAAATAGTTAAATAGTATATATTCATGAGAATTGGCTAAGGTTCTTGCATACTTTAAATTTGAGGGTAGATACTTATTTACTGTAAGTTAGCTTGGGTATATACATTGTTATTACTTCCCTAATGTAATAAATCCGAGCAAAATTTGTTCCCAATTTGCTTCAATCGAGAGTAATTTTTATTAAAAAGACAATAAGAATAGAAGCTAGATGCCTTATTATTTTATTTTTACCTTTGTTGTAACTTTTTAATCATAAATGTTGACATTACTAATTTTTATTCCAGATAAAGCTGCTACAGAATCTAACATCATCTTTGTGCTCCTCTGTTATGTCTGTAATTGGTTGAGTTGATTGCTTGATTTTCTTTTACACATGTCAAATATACCTCAGGGAAAATATGAAAACACAATAAAAGAATGCACAAAAGCATTAGAACTGAATCCTGCGTATGTTAAAGCTTTGGTAAGAAGAGGAGAGGCTCATGAAAAGCTTGAGCATTTTGATGAGGCCATTGCTGGTGAGTTCAATTTTTATATTTAGGGAGGGGGGTTAATTATAACGTCCTCCTCTACACCCTACACCTCTCTTGTTTGGGAAATTATATGTACTCTTCTTATGCCCAACATCCTTCTTTGTTTGAGGATTTACCCCTGCTTTATATAGGGTACCTAATTTCACAAATAAGGAAGGGTGTCAGGCGTAAAAGTGCTAACCTAAGGGAGGTTAGGGTCGTTATCCTTCTATGGTGTCTCTTAATGGTGAAGTGCATGACTGTGTGTTTTGCACACTGAGAGCATTTAGGGTCTTACAAATTTTCTTCTTCATTCATAATCAGCTCTTTTCATTTCACCATTTTTTTTAAACAATTGGCAGATATGAAAAAAATCTTGGAACTTGATCCCTCAAATGATCAAGCTGGGAAAGTCATTCGCAGGCTAGAGCCCCTTGCTGCAGAAAAACGGGAAAAGATGAAGGAAGAAATGATTGGTAAGATTTTTTTTTGTCTTTCTCTTAGTTTTTCTAATATTTTTCTTTTTCTTTTTATTTTATATTTTTTGAAGGGTGGGGTACAAGCATGCTTTCATTGTGTTATCTTTGTTCTTGTATACTTTGTAATTTTTTCCCCAATTAACTTACTTTGATCTGTTCCTTTGTTTCTTTCTCCTTCCTGCAAAACTAAAACGGCATGGAGCCTATGATATCTCTATTTAAATAGGGGAAAAATATTGTCTCAGTTGCTGCGTGTTTCTTGGCTTATTTATCTCAGTCATTATTATTCAAGATGGATTGTAAAGACTGTCTATGTTATAATACACCTAGTTATGTGTAACAACTCAAATACCAATTCACACAATAAATGGAAAAGAAAGATTGTATTATATTAATAAGGAGAAATCTGCTGGACTCAAGTACACAATTGGGTAAATTACAAGGGAAACAGAAACTAAGTAAATGAAGGAAACTTCAAGAAACAAGGAAACAACCCCGAGAATTGGAGATCTTTGGTTCTTTCTCAAAATGCTCAAGTCCAGACCCAAAATACTTTCCTGCTCTTCACACCTCCTGTAATACCACACACCCCATACTCCTCCTAACCATTTTCCAGATCAGACTCACTTCCATTTGCTGAGACAGCAAGCAGTTGTGATCCTCTGAAGTGCTTCCTACGGTACACTCACATTTTTGGAGGGTTTGTATCTTATGTGTCCATTCTTAAGATTAACTTGTTCTCGAGTGGTTCACATAGGTGGAGCAAAGTCCAATTTTGTTTAGTCCAATGAGACCTTTCCTGAAGGAAATTCTTTTATGAAAGGAACCTATGGATGCCTTGTTAAGATATTACTAGGTATACCTAGTTGATTGAAATATGTACTTATTGATTTTGAATCATGGTGCAATTCTAGATGAATTATGCAATGCTTGCTGATTGACTGCATATCATCTTGTAGAGATATATTGCCTTCCTAGAATAGGCAGAATGGTATGTTGTTTGTATTTTTTGTAATGGGTATGTATAGAGTGGTTTTTGTTCATTGGGAATCCTGGAGGAGAAACTTAAGGATTGTCTGATTATATATTATTCTTATCTTTTAGAACTAGACTTTGTTTTATGGCATAAACCTTTTGGATGTCCTGGCAGAACTAATTATTTGGCCAGGATTCTTCTTAGTTGCACTTGGGGCAATGAACAACTACATAAACATCTTAACCTTTTATCTGTTCTTTATTCTTTGGTCATTACCTGTATCTGTTATTCTGTTTTATAAATGCAAAATCTTCTCTTAAATTGTGAATAATTTATACAATGCTTCTATATGCCCTTAATTTTCGTTTCAAGTGATCTTAAGTATATGTTTCAGTATCATCATTTGCTTAGACAGAGAAGTGTTTCTTGATGCAGGAAAACTTAAAGATATGGGCAATTCTGTCTTGGGCCGCTTCGGGATGAGTGTAGACAATTTTAAGGCAGTCAAAGATCCAAACACTGGTTCCTATTCTGTCTCATTCCAACGCTAAGTTTGGTTGAGCAAAGTCATAACAGAATTAAGCAAGAAAGAGGTGGTCTAGAATGATACAGGTTTGAGACTTAATTATGCATGCAAGTCATTCGGAAAATTCAAATGTTAGTATTGTATGCGTATAGTTTTATTTCCTTCAAAAGGATATTTGTTTATTGATTCATCATGTGAAGGGGATATTTGTTTATTGATTCATCTCTTCTTAGTTCTTACATTTGATTTGCATTAAAGTTTCAGAGCACATGACAATTGCTTTCATCTTTTGGAAAAATATCAAGTTGAACGGTTCATGTGACTTCGTTGGCATTTAATGTTACCCAATTTAACTTGTCTTTTCCTTTTTTGATGCTCAAGGGTCTGCTTGTTTGAGGAGTTGGATATTTTAAAATCACCAATGTGTGGTACCGACATAAATGTGAGATAGATGAAAGTAAATTGCAACTCATTTACACATTACCCTCCAATATTTGGCCACTCTTATGGCATAAAAATGAGTTGCAAACAATTTCCCCCCTTTTACCAAGCAACATTAACTTAAAAGACATTTTTTTAACATCCAAAAAATAAACTCAAAACGTTTCCATCTCATTTTAATTTCACTGTCCTCCAAATTTGTCATCTCCTCAAACAAGTACGCCCCAAATGTTTTTGCATGATGCTAAACCATGTGCACTGACCAGTCAAGTTCTTAATATCGTATAGCTTATAAGATAATGGATCTAATTCACTGTCATCTGGTTTGTTTTCTAGGTAATCTTGGAATTCTGAGTTATTAAAGTAGTAAAGGAGATGAACGATGTTGGAATGAAGTCAGGGTGTATTAATCCTGTGGAATTGCACTCATGAAAGTTGATGGTTAGAATTTGTAAGCGTTTTGGGTTGTACACTGCCGTTTTCTGTCACCGGGTCATTTTGTATCAGTTGTCACTGCTGAATGTGATTAACGGCTAATAATTAGCAATTTTAATATAGTAGTGTGATCCACGGAGATCGTGGATGGTATATTGCTTTTATGTTTTGGAACTATATATGGTATGCAATTTTCTTCACATCGAAAGCATTTAAAATTTTATGTATCTTTCTGAGTTGCTATCTCGTGTGGAATTGGTATTACCAATCTGTAGAGTTTTTAACTTTTTTAGCGGCACGTTTCAAAGATTTTTCCGAAACTGGAATAGAGCAGAGTCGTGATTTTTAAAGATTCTGTGCCCCTACTAGTTTTGAAGAATCTGGTTTTATGCTTTGGGCGGGTGAATGTGCATGCCCGACCGAATAAGAGGCACTTTTCAGTTGCAGCGTTTTTAGGTAATAGAGGTGATTTCTCGGTTTAATTTTAGGCTCAAAGCAAAGCGGATATTGGGCTCATATACATATATACCTGTTTAGTAGTACAAATCGAAAATGCAAAATTATTTTTCTTCATTACTTACCTCTTATTCATCAATGGGTTTTATGTTTATCATTTAACATAATATAACTTCACTTTTTTACGCACACATTAAAGAGGTGAGGTCTACATGTTTTTTTTTCTCTTTCATCATTTCACTTTCTCTCTTCCTTTTGATGTGAGAGTTGAAAACAACACTTACATCATGTTACATGACACTAATAAAACCCTTCATCAATTCATGCAATAACTCCCAAAGTAAAAGAGAGACTTTTGCTTTGGAAAGTGAGGTACAAATATTGATCCGAAACATGAAAATCATTATTCTTAAAAAGAGAAACACTATCAGTTACCCCAAAAAACCAGTTTCGCAACTCCCTAGCTCTCAGAAAAAGTCATCTTCTCATCCTTATTCTATACGAGGTTTACAGACGAAGAGACAAATCAAGCTTTTGATCTTTCTCTGTATCGTCATTCCAAATTCCAAGATTTTGATTGTTACTTATCAATGATATATGATGAGCAATGTCACCCCTGCTGAAGTGATTGCTTCTTATACGCTTTTGCCAATTAATGAAAAAAAATTCATCTTCATCACAGAATCGACTTTTTGAACAACTTCCCTCAAAATATACAGCCTTCCCAAATGTAGGTGCACTATTTGATCTAAATTGTTCCGAGATTTGTTGGCTTGGGAGATAAGGGAGATTTGCTGCGTGGGCATTGATGAACATTGAAGGATTTGAAATATCCAGTTGATGGGTTGGAGCAAAAACCATAGGGGTTGGCAATGGGGAAGCAAAGGAAACACGTGAGTACTCAGAAGGCCTCTTAGCCTTCCTTGCACTTCTCTCTTTCTTGTGAGCATTTTGGTGTCCCCCCAAAGCTTGAGAACTGTAAAACTTTCTTGAACAGAATAGACATGGAAAAACTCTTGATGTTGCATCTTTTTGTTGGTTTTCTTCAACTCTGGCTAACTTTTCCTCATCTTCCATCTATGTGTTCTGAAACCCAGGAAACAGTTAAAAGAAAAAGAAATTACCCAAGTACACTTTAGAAGATAAAACTTGGTACATTTAAAATGATATAAGCATGACGGTTTACCTGAGGAATATCAGAACGAATGGTAAAAAAGTGTAGCAGAGGAGAGAATAGAGAAGGAGGGGAATTTTATAAGAATGGAATAGTTGATGTGAGTTTGAATCTTGTAGTTAGAACTGATCAAAGAGTTGAAAGAAGTGCTTCGAAGAAAAGTGTTCTGAAAAAAGTGAAAAGTGTGATGGGTGTCTGAGTAGTATCACTAAATACAGTCCATGAGGCTGGTGAATGTATGGGCTTGGAAACAGAAAAGATAAGAGAGAGAGAGAGAGAGAGAGAGAGAGAGAGAGAGATTCCATTTTCCAATCCAAACATTTCCCTCACCAATCACTTTCTTCATCTTAACATGCACAAGCCTTCTGGAGGACAGTTCCCCACTTGTCTGACGACTTAGAGATTTCATGAGCTCTTTGTGTTCAACGTCCTGATTTCATTTGTTGGGTTTGGACATAAAAGTGTAATCTTCATTGGGAGTCGTCGAGTTACATACCCTATATCAAATATTTATTGGTTAGTGTATCAAAATAAATGTTTGAAAGTTCTATGAAATTTAACTGATATAATTTTCAATCAATAACAATTTAAAGATAGTTTTGATTTTGTATGGTAGATAATAGAGTATAATATATCTCGTCTCAAAATATCTGAGATTTAAGGACGGCAGAGGTGGCCAATCATATTTATAGAGATGTCAAAGTGTCAGAGAAGGTGATCAGGTTCATGATCTGCAACGGCCAATATGTAAGGATTAAGCGACTTAAAAGTTCATTGGTCCACCATCTCGTCTGGGACTGTGTGTTGCATACATTTTCTCTCTCTCTCTCTTACTATGCGTGCTGCCATCGGCTGCTCAGTTCTGCAGCCTCTGCTTTGCTTTTCTAATTCCATATGAATATGTTATGGGCTGCTGTTTCTCATGCATTCTCCACCGTCAACTCCATGCAAACTGTTACTTTTCACATACTTTTTTTCGTGGTCTGATCCTACACCTCTTTTTCCAATAACAAAATACATCAGTACTTGTATCATATGCATGTACCCCACATCACGTGTGATCTTCTGAGTATATTACTTCTCATAGATTTATTGTTTAAATATCCAAACATATCAGCATCGAATTCGTATATGACATTGATACGACAAGGAAATGCATGTATCGGCGCTTAGTAGCCTAGCATTATATCAAGTAATTAAACATTCTGGTTATCTTTTACTAGACTAGTATATTAGCCGTGCGATGCACTGGAAAAAAAGATTAAAACTTTTGTGGTCCGTTGTTATTGATTAATTGCACTATAAATTTTATACTTACAAAAAATTGTGTTGTTATTTTGTTCTATATTTTAGCTAAAAAAATTATAGCATTAACACAGAGCTTTGCTAATATCAACCACAAACAAAAATCTGCTATTCAGAGGGATAATTAATTTTGTATACAACTATACCATAATACGTTATAATACATCATGTTAACATGAGGAAGGGATATAAAAAGAAAAATGCATATAAGTCATTGCTAACTATAACATTCATCAACAAAATCAAGGTAACAATAACACCAAGCAAATATGGATTTAAAAGATCAACTTTTACCTATAATATGAAAATGCTATTCATTCAGTGTCATTTTGTAGCAATCATTGGAGGGATGAGTTCAACATTTACTAAATATGTCATTTACTGTGTGATTTTCGTTCCTTGTGCCTACGATACAGAAGGCAAAAACTCATTAAATAAGTAACACTAATATGTTAACACCCAAAAGTCATAGTATCAGCAAAAAAAAGATTGGATGAAATTTTTTTAAGGACCAAAAAAAATGTTGTCTGAACGGGATTTGAATGCAACTTAATCAAATAAGCATGTATGAGTCATATTTTTTTGCTTACATTGCAACAACTGATATAAACAGAGTCAAAGCAACTACACTAATATTTGAGATAGACTTTTATTTATTGCAATCACATTTAAAAAATAATAATAAATAATTATTTTTTTGCAAGGATTAGTGTCGTTAGTCTTTAGAATTTCACAAATTTATATTTACAAAAATTAAAATTAGATTTAGTAATTTAATTATAAAAGAAGAAGGATAAAATTTCAATTGAATTATAAAAATATATTGGCGGGCAGGCCCTCCGAGCCGAGCCCAATTTTCCACCTCTAACTGTCAGCATTTTATATAAATATATTTTTTTTGCAAGGATTAGTGTCGTTAGTCTTTGAAATTTCACAAATTTGTATTTACAAAAATTGAAATCAGATTTCGTAATTTAATTATAAAAGAAGAAGGATAAAATTTCAATTGAATTATAAAAATATAACGGCGGGCCGCCCTCTGGGCCTAGCCCAGTTTTCCACCTCTAACTGTCAGTTTTTTATATGAATTATTTTTTGCAAGTATTTGTGTTAATTACACTCTTGCAATAAAAAAATGAAAGTTTAATTTCTTTCTTATGTACTAAATTAAAATTTTTATTTTTATAGTTCTTAAATTTTAATAATATTTCTTTACAGAATGACATACGTCATTTTTTATTTAAATTTAAAATTTAAAAATTTTTATATTAATTATACATATTTTTATATAATTTTTTTCTATTTTAATTTATGATTTTTATATATATTTTTAATTGGTTATACACAGCGGCGGAGCTACAGCCATGCCAGCAGGTGCCTTGGCACCTGTTTGTTTTTATTTTTTTTACTTATTATATAATTAATTCTAATTAACTAAGATAAAAATTATAATTTGGCACCACCTAAATAGAAAATTAAATACTCAATACAAAATGACAACAAACTATCTAAATGCAAACAAATAATAAGAAACATGTATAGGATGGTTATTTTTGTGTTTTACCTTTTTTTATTTTTTATCCAGTATATTTGTTTTTTTCCTGCTTTATTATGAGTTATGTTATTTATTCTTACTCCTATTATTTAAAAAAAAAAAGACTTTTAAACTTAATCACAAAAATGATGAGTTGACCTATTTCAAATTTTTTTTTTTTTGGAGTTACCCAACCCTAATTATCTCTTTGAGACGAGTTGGCTCCCTCCGGTATCCCCACGAGCTTCGACTCTTTGAGCCGGCTATGGGACTAATCCGGAGTGCGGGGGAACAGTGATGGCTAAAGGTTCAGCCCCCTCCCCAAGAATGCATTCAGCGGGAATCGAACACATATCCAACCCCACTAACTCAGCGCCAAGTTACCAACTGAGCTGCACCCATTGGGTCCTATTTCAAAATTTAGGCCCAACTAAATCAAATAAAATCATTTAAAAGTAGGAAAAAAGGGTTTATCCTTTTAAAGGACACAAGGTTGTATCCCTTTAGTTTTTGACACTATATCTTACCGGTAAAACATAGTTATAATATGAAAAATTGCTTCTTCTTTTTTATTTCCTCAATCACTAGAGAAAAAAATAATTTTTCATGATATAACTATGTCTTACCAGTAAGACATAGTGTTAAAAACTAAAAGGATCCAATTTGTGTCCTTTAAAAGGACAAACACTTAACCCTTGAAAGTAACAATCATGAAACCAAATAAATAACAAGACTATAATTATAGAATATGAAGGTCCATTGAACTGTTGTATTTTGAGTTATTGCACACACAAAGAATAGTCAAAAACTTAATTCCCAGATGTGAGAACTTTTCATCGTGCTTATGACTGTTGCAAATAAGTGTGATGTTCTCTAACATGAGATATTGAAAATTTAAGGAATAGAGATAATGAAAAAAAAAGACGAAGGACAATGCTTATTATACATATAATTATTATATTTGTGTGTTTTCATATCCTTAGGATAATGTTTGGTTCATTACTTATTATGTTGCGGGAGGAAAGTGGAATTCTTATGTTTGAAATGTTTACCGAAAAGGTTAGTGCATTTTTATATGTTTGTTTTGATATATAACTAACGGTAATTGTTCATTTGAATTTTCAATATTATGTGACATTATTTAGTACATAATTTAGATAACTATGTTAGAATTCATAGTAAAAATTTTTTCTGATAAATTTGTATAATTATAATAAATATTTTGATAATTTAATATGTCAAATTTTTTGGTACCACTTAAATTTTTGGGCTGGCTCCGCCACTGGTTATACATGAATATTTAAAATGTTTATTTTTTTAATAAAATACACGTATACTTTTTTAATTGGTTATACATGTATATTTAAAATTTTATGTTAAAATTTTAATTTATTTTTTTGTAAAGTATAAATTATGCCATTTCTTATTTTTTTTCATTTAAATTTGAAATTTTAAATACTTTTATCGACTTTAAATGTATTTTTATAATTTTAAATATTTTATTGTTTATTCTATAATTTTATATTAAATTCAAATTTATTATATATATCTTTTGCCGCTGTATAAATATTAAATGTTGAACTCTTTTTCCACATATCAAGTTCACATAATATTTCATTTAATTTATTTTCAAATTTCGAATTTATTTTACAATATAAATAATTTTGTTATTTTACAAATTTTTTTTAATGTTTTTGTTTTTTTATGCAGCATTAATAGGGCTAACAATTATCCATGCAAAAAATAGTGGGATATACAACAAAAGAAAAGTACAGGTCTTTTTTTTTGGGTAAGAAAGTAGAGGTCTTTTTTATTCATAATATACAACGAAAGAAAAGTAGTGAGACATTAAATGAGTTATCTGTCAAAAAAAATTTCCAAAAGTTTTTCCACCATTACAAAGTTAAAAATTCAAATTTAAACATAAATTCGAAATTTAGAAGAATTAAGTTATTATTAATTTAGAAATTCTAATGTAGAATGCAGTGGAACATTGAATGAGTTGTCTGCCACTAAAAATTATTCACATAATTTTTCATTTAATTTATTTCCAAATTTCGAATT